TTTTAAAAAATTATGGGCTTGGGACCAGCAGTTAGCATAATGGCTATGTTGCTGGACTCCCACGTAGTCGACCGCGGTTCACGTTCCAGACCCGGTGACTTAAAACTCATGCCAGGCGCATGTGCATGCGTGCCCAAGATCCCGAGAGGAGAATGGAGGAGAAGGGATTGCGTTGTGGCCATCCTCCCTGGGGGGGGGGATTTCTCGCGCTCTCTCTCTCTGTCTCTGTCTGTCTGGCGAGCGCACACGCCCTATAGCAAAAGCCTCTAAAAAAAAAATTATGGGCTTATTATTAACCTCTTGATTGTATAACACTATTTTTAATTAATACACATCAACTTCCATAGGTATACAAAATGGTCCCATACATCTTAATCCCTCCCATTTGTTCATATTGTCACCAATTGTGTCTTTGCTTACTAGGAGATACTGACAATTAAGCTTTTATGCATTTTTCTTTATAATCATATTTGGAAATGAAAGGGAGTACAAATCATAAATACAACCCAGAGTTTTTTATTTATCTTTACCTTTGCTCTTTATTTTGTCTTATGGCTTCGAATTGATGTCTAGTGTCCTTTATTTTTATCTAAAAGTCTCACTCTAGCATTTCCTGCAGGACAGATCTACTAACAATGAACTGTCTTTGTAGCTGCTTATCTGGGATTGAATTTGTTTCTCTTTCATTGTTTGACAGTTATTTTTCCCAAATATAGGATTGGTTGATATATTTTTTCTTTCCATAGTTTAAGCATTTTATCTCACTGTCTCCAGACCTCCACGGTTTCTGTTCAGGAATCGGCTCTTCTTTTCTTCATATTCCTTTGTACAAATCACATCTCTTTTACTGCTTTCATATTTGAAAGACTGATTACTACATGTCTCTGTGTGTCTCTTGTGTTTGTCCTTTTAGGGGTACATTGAACTTCTAAAACATATAAATTTATATCTTTTATTAAATTGTGGATATTTTGGCTATTGTCTCCTCAAAATTATTTTATGCTCTTTACACTTAATTCTTCTTTCATTCTAAAAATCTCATTATGTGTATGTGGTACAATGTTAGTATCCCCTGGGTCTCATAGTCTCTCTTCATTTTTCTTCATTCTTCTGTTTTTCAGAATGGGTAAGTTTGTCAAACTATAAAAAACTTCTCTGCGTCTTCATTCCTCCAGCTCAACTCTGCTGTTGAAACTCAGTGATTCCTTCATTTCACTTATGACAGTTCTAGCTCCATAATTCGTTTGGTTCCTCTTCATAATTTTGTATCTCTTTAAAATATTCACTATATTGGGAGGTATAATTACCATGATTTTCTTTAGCTATTTGAGTATATGTAAGCCAAATGACATATAATCCTTGCTAGTAAGTCAACTGTCTTTTTTTCCTTTAAAGACAGTTTCAGTTAGTGTGTGTGTAGTGTTATTGTGTGTGTGTGTATATGTGTGTAACAAAATGGGCCATACTTTCATACTCTTTCCATGCTTTTTAGCTTGTTAGGGAAAACTGGACATTTTTGATATTATAATATAATAAATATGGAAATCAGAATCTTCTTCATGCTCAGGGTTTGCTTTTGTTAATTATTATGGGTTTAATTGTTTGAGGCATTTATAATTTTTTTTTTTTGGAGAGGTTTTTGCTATAGGGAGCATGCACTTACCAGAAAGCTAAAGAGAGACAGAAATGAGAAATCACCCCCAGGGAGATAGCCACACCACAATCCTTTCTCCTCCATTTACTTCTTGGGATCTTGGGCATGTACATACACATGCCCAGTGTGAGTTAATCCACCAGGTCCAGGACTCAAACCGTTGTTGAGTACATGAGAGTCCAGTGATGTAGCCATTATGCCATCTGCTGGTCCTTCTAAATATATTTTGTAAAGACTTCATTGTCCTGCATGGCCTTTTAAGTCTCTGCTCCTTTAGTTTAAGGTCAGATCATGTAGTAATAGAGACTTTCACTGCCTCATAGAAAAAAAATCTCTCTAAAACAAAACGAAACAATAAACAAAACATACCTATCCCAGTGTTAGTGCTGGAAGTACTAAGTGTTGAGGCATTCCTCGAGTGGTTGGGCAGGCCCTATTCAAATCTGTCTTAACCTTCAGTTCTGGTCACAGGGACACTAAAGATCAGTTTGAGGTGAAAATTTAGTGACTTGTAAGGTATTTCCTGCGTACATTTCCTGCTCTTGGTTTTCTAAATTCTTATGAACAGGGATGGCCTATTCCCCCCCACCACCACCCCAAAATTCCTCTTTCTATACTTTTCAGGTTCTCAGCATGTTTAACAGTTTGCCTCATAATCTCTTCCCAAGCAGCAGAAGGTTCTTTAAGTACTACTCAGAGTTTTCATGGAATAGCCTATGATAAGCCTTTTGTCTTCCTTGAGCAAGCTCTCAGGCTATGCAAAGGAAAGTGCCTTTGACAAGTCCTTCAGGTAGCACCCAGACTGGTCCAAAGAGACAAAGGCAATTAGAGAGCAAAGACTGCTCTGCTCCCTTTGGAACCAGTGACCAACTGGGATAGCCTTTCCTCCAGTTTTCAATACCTTATTCTTTATTTACATGTAAGACCTCATCATAACAGCCTTTACTATTAATATTTCTACCAACATTCTGACCAGAAATAGTTAAGTAATCTCTAAGAAATTTTGAACTTGTGGTTTGTTTGTACTTTGCTATGGGGCAGTGCATTCACAGAATAAAGACAGAGAAAGTGAGAAAGTTCCCCTCAAGGGGATGGCTGCACAGCAAACCTTTCTCCTAGAAGTTTCAGACTTTAACAATAGCTCTCCTCTTCTGAATTTTTACAGAAGTTGTCCTGGCTGCTCCATTTATGGCTTTCTTAAGTGCTTCCATCACATTCTTCCAGCCCCTATGTACAAGCCAGTACTAAAGCTGATTCCACTTGTTTAGGTATGTGCTATAACAGCACTCTACTTTTCTATTACAAATTTATTCCCTTACTCCATTTTATATTTCTATAACAAAATACCTGAGACTGAATAATTTATAATGAGCAGACATTTATTGACTCTCAGTTCCAGAGGCTGAGATGTCATAGATCAAAGAACCAGCATCTGGCAAGGACCTTCTTTCTGTGTCATCACATGTGAAAGTTATAAGAGCAAAGACAGAAGACAAAAGGAGAACAACATTAATTATATCCATAAAAGGAAGGTCCTCATGGATTTTTTTCCCTCCACAGAATGCGTGCACTTGCCATATAAAGAAGATACGGGGCAGGGGCAGGAGGGTGGGGAGAAGAAAGCTGCCTTCATGCCAAAATTCATTTGTTCTTCGTTTCTCCATTTTTTCAGTTTGTGGAATGCATGCCCATGTCTCCATTATGTTTTCCAAGCTGCCAGGGCCACAATTCAAACTGTAGTTAACTATATGGGATCTTGCTCCCTTAACCACTAGGCTCAGGGCCTAGCTCCCTTGTTGCTCTACCATCTCTCAAAAGTACTACTACTGGGAACGGTAGTTAGCGTAATAGCTATGTAGCTGAACTCCCAGGTATTCGAACGCGGTTCGAGTCCTGGATCCAGTGGTTAAAACTCACGCTGGGTGTGTGTGTGGGCATGCCCAAGATCTTGAGAGGAGAATGGAGGAGAAGGGATTGTGGGATGGTCATTTCCCCCTGGAGGGTTCATTTCTCACTTTCTGTCTTTCTGGCGAGCACACGTGCCCTATAGCAAAAACCTCTCAAAAAAAAAAAAAAAAAAAGTACTACTGCTTAATATTGTTTTAATGACAATTAAATTTCAACATGTATTTTGGAGGGGAAAAACATCTGAGCTATAAGAGATGAGATGACTGGTACAGCAAGCATGTAGAAACACAATGTAGATAAAATTCAAGGGAGAGTTGGTAGAGAGTGAAAGAAAGTGAGATGACTGAAGAGAAATCTAAGAAGGTAGACAGAAAAGACATAGTGTGGGAATTAGCAGATCACATGGTGGTTAAGATGCTGATGTCCTACAAGTCTCATAATGAGTGGATTGAAAATTTGAGGGTCATTTCCCACTTTCCTTCTTTCTCTCTCTTTCTCTCTCTCTCTGACAAGTGCATGTGCCCTATACCAAAAACCAAACCACTATGAAAAACAGGAAGATCTTTTAAAAAGGAAAAAAAAAAGGCACAGTGCACTACATTTATGTCAACAGGAAACAAACAAACAAACAAAAAAACGAGGACACCCATTCTCTTAAAAGTATGACACTGATATTTATTAAGATAGGAATTACAGGAGGAAGGGAACTCTAAACAATGTATGAAGTTAAAATGTGAAATCTCACCTTAACTGCTGTTGAAAGGTATGTCCTGAGGATTTGGGGGGAAGAAAACAAAACACTGATGACACATTGAGTGTAGGAGAGTGTTAGAATCTACATAAACAGACAGGGATGACATAGGTAGATAGAAAATTATCCATGTAATAGAAAGATGATATTAGCTAAGGGGAGATAAATGCTAAGAAGTAAATAATAAGAATAAATAATATAAAATGCACATTGAAATTGGTGGGAAAGAATAATAAAATCTTGAAAGGATCTAAGAAAAAGATAGAAATGAAAACAGTCAACACAGATTTTAGAGAAACTGAGAGAGGAAGATAAATAGTTGGTGGAATTACCCTTGACATGAAAATAAATATCAAGATATAAAACTCATTCATATTACTCAACTTCATTACTCAGCCTGTTCCTCTCTGTAAAGCTGATTCTGTGTAATAGGAAGTGTCAAATTCATACTAAAATCTAACTTACTGTGGCAACTACAAAGGCAATCCAGGCTGAGAACACTCACAGTGACAACTTGCACATATACCAAAAAAGATGTAAACAAATATATATTGGAACAATCAAAGGACAGGATAAGAAACCCTCAGAGACTTGCAACATTATTATTCTCAAAATCTTGGCCATGTAGCTGCCACTTCCTAGGGTCATAACACAGTCACACTAAGTGAACGTATGTTTTCCACACAGCCATGAATGCAGCGAAGTCCACCTGTGATGAGCCTCTGCCCGGAGGTGAAAGGAGGCGAGATCTCCAAGAGATGCTGAGAGAAGTGGGACTGGATGTTGAGTCCTGGTTACCCAAGCTGCAGGAGCACCTGGGAGTGACGTGTGCTCAGGCCTTGCAACACCTACAAGAAAATGACCTCCAGAAGCTGAAATCCCACGCACAACATTCATGGGAGATAAGGGCCCTAGAGAAGCTGCTTACCCAGGCACGCTCACATAGCCTTTCAGAGTTACAGGAGTCTCAGAAGGTGATGATGAACAAAAAGCAGAATCAGGCAGAACAGGCACTGCAGCAACTGAAATCCTTGCTGTCAGAAGGGAGGCAGCGACAGGAAGAAGCTGTGAGGATGAAAGAAGCAGAGCTGAGGCAAGCGTTGGGGATTCCTGAAGAATATTGGCCACCTCCTCAAAAACCTCTAAGGGAAGTCATAGAAAACATGCAGAGACAACTAGGCCTAGTACAAGGGACACTGTCCCACAGGCAAAACCTCTCAGACAGAGAACTACCGAGATGGGCATCTGGAGGGCTGGCCCTGCAGGGAATTTTCAAAGTTAACCACCAATGGGGCCTGATAGAGAAGAGAGAGCAGCTACTCAGTGTCCCCGAGGACTTCTCACTTTCTGGCCCTCAGCAAGGCCCACGGATGGAAACAAAGGAATTTACCTCTTCCCAAGCAGAATCCATATTCACTCAGAGTATGGAAAAGCTGGGATTCAGTGCTACTACCTTAGCCAAGGGTGGAGGTTGGGGATTTAGTCTAGAAGCAGGAACAGATTACAGCAAACACTCAGAATGCAAGGAAACCCAACAATCAACTGGGCTTCAGTGCAACTACCTCAGCCAAGGGTGGAGGTTGGGGATTTAGTCTAGAAGCAGGAACAGATTACAGCAAACACTCAGAATGCAAGGAAACCCAACAGTCACGATCTGAGCACTCATATTTTTGCTCAACCAAGTTTAACTACGTCCCCCTGGCCTCCTTTTACTTTTCCGTTAGTCAACTCCAGTTCTCCAAGACTGCTCTCCAGAAACTGAAATGCATGGATGACCTACTGGATCCAAGTGCAGGTCCAGACAGATTCTCCTCATTGAGGAGAAGGAGTGAAGACTTTTTCCACAGGTTTGGCACTCACGCTAACCAAGGCCCTCTGCATTTGGGAGGAATCTACTGGTGGAAGGCTGTTTCAGAGGGTTTCCAACGTGAACAACTGGCAGAAGTGAAAGAGCAGTCAGCAGAGATCCTGGACAGTTACATAAGGGGCAGCTATTGTGGCTTTCCGGTGAATGTTGCTGCAGGTATGAATATTTCAGGATCTCACTCAAAAACAGCCTCTCAGATGGACTCATGCCCAAATCTGCAAACCAAAGTCCAGTTAACTGTGGCCCAGACAGGTGGCCCACCAGAAGCAGGTAGTCTTGTAGAGTGGAAAGCTGGCCTTCTTGCTAGCAATCAAACCTGGTGTGTCATTGACCGGGGACTTCAGCTGGTGCCCATCTGGGATATCATCCTCTCCAGGCATGAAACTGATTTTAAGAATCCTCATCAGCTGGCTGACTGCCTAAGAGAGAGCTACACAGTTCTGAATAGTCTCAGTGCGCACATCCAGGATGGAGAGGAATTCCTGAGCACTAAGAAAGACATTAGGCTTTTCCTACAGGATGTGAAATACTGGGAAATATCTGATCCTGAAGAACAGCTTAGAAAACTAATCAATTTCATGCCTCCAGCCATGAAACTGATTTTAAGAATCCCCATGAGCTGGCTAAATGCCTGATAGAGACATACACAGCACTGAATAGTCTCAGTGCTCACATTCAGGATGGAGATGAATTCCTGAGCACTAAGAAAGACATTAGGCTTTTCCTAGAGGATGTGAAACACTGGAAAATATCTGATCCTGAAGAACAGCTTAGAAAACTCATCAATTTCATGCAAATGTTAAGTCAAAAAATGAAATCTTATGACATTTGGATTAACATATGCCTCACAGATAGGGATCTGCAGAATTTTCTAGTAAACACTGTCAATTCCTGCAAGAAATCTTTAGATTATAATACTACATTTATTAAAGCTCAGTTGCGCAGCCTCCTGGATCCACACATCTACAGTGTGACAAACTTTCCTGAGGTTCACCCCATCATGCAGTGGATCTGCCAGTCAGAGTCAGAACAAGAACAAATTAAAATCTCCCAAATTTCTGAATTAATGAAAATCTTAAAAGAGACCCAGAATGACCTCATGGACGTAAAAGTCAAATCTGAGTCCCCAGAAAATGTGGAGGAAGTTCAACGAAAAGCCACTTGTGATGTCAGCTTGGCTCTCAGCAGCTTCTTGAATTATCTCCAAGAAACAGACCCGCCAGATACCCAGCTCTTGCTACTTTGCATTGCAGCTGGTGCAGGATATCATGTGCCAAACAAGACATTTCAGCATCTCCTAGGGTGTGATGAGTTAAACTTTCTACTGCGTGAAATTCAAACTGCCCAGGATAAATACCAGGAGCTCAAAAAATTTAGCAGTGCCAGGGCTCAGGCATTCCTTGTACTCACAGGTCTGACTGCCACTGCTGGAGTCAGAGCTGTTTCTTCAGAAAAGAAAATGCAGCGCTTGTCATTAATGAGACAACACATGGGACCCTCCTTGTGTAAAGAAGTAGCACAAGTCCTCAGCAAACGTGGAGCACATGATTGGGAAAGCCTAGAGAAAGACTTGAGATTGATGGAGAACATCATGATTGGAAAAGCCTAGAGAAAGACTTGAGATTGATCATTGATGGGAATTATGAAACCACTGTTTCTTCTTTGCAAATGGATGAGAAGATAATGCAATTGCAAAGCTCATTAGATTGTAAAAAGCAGCCCCATGAACTAGAAGGTAATGAAAGTAACAAAAAGGAGGTGATTGAAAATCAAGCATTCCGAAGTTTACTTCAGCGTCTAGGCCTAGAAAACTACTACCCAAAAAGGATGAGCAGAGCTGACTTCCATCTGATCTATAAGACTTCTGTGTACAATACCCATCCCAGCTCTGAACAGAAACTTCCCTTCTATTTCCTGGAAAAACTACTGATGCTAGATTATGGGCTAAGATACCTGGTCTCCAAAGATAATGGAAACACAGAACACCAAGTCTATACAACTCCCTCAAATCAGGAAAAGGAGGTTTGGGATCCGTATGAAGACTTTTTTGCAGATAATGACATTCCCACTAAACTTTTGACCACTGAGACCAGGCCCCACATTCACCCAATGGATATCCAAATGGCAATTTTTCACTGTGCAGATGATTTTGCCAGACAATATATTATGACCAAACTTAGCATTTGTCAGTTTGCTCTTCCCCTTGTGGTGCCTAATCCATGCACTTCTCACATTGAGTTCTCTCTCTGGCCTTTCCGGCAAATTAGGAAAAGTTGGCAGCAAGAAAGTAAAACAGCAAAAGGAAAAACCAGTTACAAGAATCAGCAGATGTGTCATGTCTCTGCCCCCATCGTGTCATTCATTAGAGTTGGGAATGGCCTCTCAACTTCCAAATCTCAGATCATGAACTGGCTTCTCATTAAACGTAAACACGATGTGTTTTTTCACCGGCACTGTATAGGAAGTAGCAAAGACTGTCTCCTGATAGGGGGTGTTATAGAGATCTGCTGGTTCTGTCCTGGAGGAGAAGATGAGGACAGATTTAACAACTGTGTGACCTTTACCAATCTTCATGGAGATGCAAAGGAACATCAGCAACAGCTCACCTTCCTGCAGGAGGTCTCTTCTCTCATTGTGGTCCTCATGTCAGCTTCTGATGAAAATAAAGAAAACAGAAAAATTTGCCATGACCTGTTCCAGTCACCAAGACCTTTGATCTGCTTGCTTGATGACAGAGAAAAAACCATGACTAGTAATTCTGGCCAAAGAGTAAAAATTGGCATCAGGAATAGAAATGAGGCAGAGTTTACACTGGAGCTCACAACTACAATCAGACGTTTGCTAGAGCTCTCAGATACTGCACTGAGCTTGGAGGATTGTGCCCTGATTGCTCACAAGCATGGGTTCCTTATTGACGAAAACCAAGAAGATTGCAAGGAAGCCAAAGAAAAGGCACAGACATTAAAAAAAAAAATACTACCCCTTCAGGGACAACTGTGGCACATTTGGTGTAAAAACGACAAAGAACTTTATCATCTAAGGGAAAAGGGAAATCGAAGCATTGAAGAACACAAGAGCGAGATTGAGACAACAAAACAAAGAATTCGTCATAAACAATTGACCAAAGCCAAACCTCCTAATGATTTGATGCGATCTGTCATTGAAATTCTATTATATTCAAAAACACACAACAAATTCTACTTCATACAATGGTTGAGTATGTTTATGAACAACCTGACTGCAGAACACTTGGAAACACTGCGTGAAAAGCAAAGAGCTGTGTGGTCACAGATACAGATGGAAAAGAAAAAGGCATCAAAGAGCAACTCCATGCAATCCTTGCAAAATGACATAGAAGTCATCTCCACAAAGATTAGCAAGTGTACTTTGGGAATTGATCAACTTCTCCGAGAAATTGGCCAGATCTATGAAGCTCTGGAAGAGGCATCCTCCATAAATGATTCCCTATTTCTCTCCCTTCCCCAAATTGCTGCAGACCTGATGATATCTGGGGCACCCATTGAGCTGATGGATGGGGATGTGTCATATGTGCCTCTAAAGTGGGTGGCAGCTGTTTTTGACAAGGTCTCTGAGAAACTTGGAGACAAACGGCTATTTGTCCTCTCAGTTGTTGGCCTGCAGAGTTCAGGGAAGTCCACCCTGCTGAATGCACTGTTTGGGCTGCAGTTCACTGTCAGTGCAGGCAGGTGCACGCGGGGGGCCTACATGCAGCTCCTGAAGGTGGAGGAGACCTTCACAGAGGAACTGGGCTTTGACTTTGTGCTTGTTGTGGACACGGAAGGACTTCGGGCCCCAGAACTCAACAATAAATCCCAGAATTGGGACAATGAGTTGGCTACCTTTGTCATTGGACTTGGAAACCTGACTCTCATCAATATTTTTGGAGAGAACCCATCAGAGATGCAGGATATCCTACAAATAGTTGTTCAAGCTTTTCTGAGGATGAAGCAAGTGAAAATATCCCCAAGTTGCCTCTTTGTCCATCAGAACGTGGGAGAAGTTACAGCTAAAGACCAAATTATGGAAGGACGAAGAAGACTAGAACAGAGGCTAGATGAAATGGCAGCCATAGCTGCAGAACAAGAACAGTGCTCAGATGTAACTCGCTTCAGTGATGTCATTAAGTTTGATGTCAGTACCCACGTCTACTACTTCGCTCACCTCTGGGATGGCAATCCCCCAATGGCCCCTCCCAATCCTCGCTACAGCCACAATGTCCAGGAACTAAAAGACAGAATTTTTATGACTGCCAAACGAGAATCCAGGAGAAGTCTCATGAAGATATCAGATGTAAAATTCAGAGTTCAAGATTTGTGGAGGGCCCTGGTGAGTGAGAACTTTATTTTCAGTTTCAGGAACACCCGAGAGGTCATGGCCATGAGTAAACTGGAAACCAAGTATAATGAATGGACCTGGGAGCTGAGGAGTCATGTCCTGAACTTGTACACGAAGATAAGCAATCAGATTCAGAATGGACAAATAGTGGCACTTGAAAGAAGCACACTTGAGGCTCCTGTTACAGAAAAATATGAAACCATTAAGCAAGAACTTGAAACTTATTTTAATGAAGACCCAGACAATGAAATACTAATTCAATGGAAAGCAAATTTTGAAAATAAACTAAGAAACCTGAAGGAGGGACTAATTTCAGATAGCAGAAGAAAAGCCAATGAACTCATTAGTCTGAGACAAAATAAAAAAAGACTGGATAAGAAAAAAACAGATTATGAAAAGGATATATTGGAAAGAAGCCGAAAGCTGGCTTTAACTGTGAAGGATAAAGAAATGAGTGAGGAAGAGTTACATGAGAAATTCAACCCACTTTGGACAAAATGGGTCTCTGAAGTTTCTTCAAATCTCTCTCCGGTTGAAGAGCCAAACATTGATATGGATTCTGAAAACATCCTGTGGGAATACTTCCAACAAGAGAAAAACATAGTAGACAAACTTCGTAGTAATTATGGACAGAAGTTTGAAATGGATTATGACAAACATGTCAGAATGAATAAGAAATACCTAGTTTTTGAAAGGCATTTAGAGGCCCGAGATAGAGAGTCCATTGACAGGACGACTGAGTGCATCACAACAAGAGTTAATGAAACTATTAACAACATTCCGAGGCAACAGCGTGATTACAGCCCAAGTGATTTCCATGAGATTCTGAGAATAGTTGATGAGGAAATGAAATCTGCCTCCACTGAGGTGAGATACACATTGACACGCCAATACAAGATTGACTTATCTTTGTGTTTATTCAAAAAAGCAGCAGAGAAGTTTAAGGGAATACACAGGGCATTCAAGAGAGCAAATGATCCTGTACACTATCTAGAAAGCAAGAAAGATGATTTCTTCATGAGTTTTAAGATCTCCTGCCAAGGAGCAACCTCCATCAAAACATTTGTTGATTTTCTGTGGCACAAGCTCACTCCTGCTGTTTCTGCCACCATATCAGGAAAATTAATACTAAACTGTGCTGGATACGTAAGAGCTAACTGCCCTGCATTAAATGGAAACAGGTCTGATCTTGAGAAACATATTCTCATCTCTTTGGCTGAGGAAGAAAACTTTGATAGTTATTGGCAATACCTTCATAACCCAGAATTGTTTTTTAGGAGTTACATTAAAAAACAAATTATTAAATATTATTCAGACAAAGGAGCAATACCTTCATAACCCAGAATTGTTTTTTAGGAGTTACATTAAAAAACAAATTATTAAATATTATTCAGACAAAGGAGCAGAAAATATCAAGACTTTCTTAAAAATAAGTGTAGAAGATATCAAGAATACCATCCTCTCTGCCATTCGTGACTCCACAAGAGTAGCTAAAGATAAAAGCAGCACCGCATCTGAGTGGCTGGATTTCTTCTGTGATCATCTGGGAAGCAACTTTGTCTTTCCCCGAGAAGAACTAATAAACATTGAACACCAGGAGATAAAAGATAATGACTTTCTCAAAGAAACCATGAGTGCAGCGTTGGATTCTGTAATGAAGACGGTAGAACAGGATTTTTTAAAAGAAGTAATGGTTGTAGAAGCAATGGCTTCTGAAATTGAGAAAATGCTCTCTGAACAGCTCTGTGGTTGCTGGAAACAATGTCCCTTCTGTGGAGCAATTTGTACAAACACAATTCCTACACACGACGGAGACCACAGTGTTCCCTTCCACCGTTCTAAGGCTGTCTATGGATGGAAATGGTACAAAACAGACAAATTTTCTGTTGATTTCTGCACTAGTTCGGTAGCAAGTGATAATTATTTTCGTTTGAGTGATGACCGGAGGATTCCATATAAGACATATCGGCAAGCAGGAGGGGATTACGCCACATGGAGCATCACCCCAGATTCCTCTCTGCAGCCATATTGGAAGTGGTTTGTCTGCCACTTCAGATCAAAGCTAGAAGAGAAATACGAGAAAAAATTCACTGGTCTAGGTAAAATCCCTGACTCATGGACCAAGATTACAAAGGAGGACGTTCTTAATGACTTGAAAAGACAGTAATATTATACTATTCAATGACCACAAAAGACTTTACAACTCAAACTGTTTTTTGAATTTTTTTTGTTTTAAAATACATAACATCTTATAGAAAAGGGGCCAGTAGGTGGCATCATGGTTGGTGTGCTAGACTCCATATGGCTGACAGAGGTTTGAGCCTCGGACCCAGCAAGTTGCTTTCTCACTTTCCCTTTCTCTCTTTCTCTGATCAAATTTACAAAATAATAAGAAGGGAACCAGCAGTTAGCATAATGGCTATGTCGCTGGACTCCCACATGGGCGACAGCGGTTCGTGTCCCGGACCCGGTGGCTTAGAACTCATGCCGGGCGCGTGTGCGTGCGTGCCCAGGATCCCAAGAGGAGAATGGAGGAGAAGGGATTGCGGCGTGACCATCCCCCCTGGGGGGTGATGTCTGGCGAGCGCACGCGCCCTATAGCGAAAATCTCTCAAAAAGAAAAAAAAGAAAAAAAAATAAGAAGAAGAAGAAATAAAATTGAATAAATGATTCTTTAAAATTTTTTTCCTTAGTCTTAGAGAAAGTCATTCTAATAAAGGAAAATCAAAATAATTATATACTACAGAATAATATTATGGGTATTTGAATAAATATATAGATTTTGGTTAAAGCAATATGATTTGTATATTTCATTTTTTAGTTTTCATCCTCTAAAGTTATGAGAAAATATTATGAACATGAATTTAAAAATTCATAGGATGTCCACGGTTCCAAATATGGCAATATTTATACACATTCTGTCCAAATGGAACAGAGACTTGACCACAGTCTCTTCATTAATTTAGGAAATATTATTAAGCAGAAATCAATGAACTATTTTTCTCATTTTACTCTCTTCTTCCCTGTCATTATGGCAGTTCCCTGTACATGCTAAAAAAAAGCATAATTCACAAAGCTTATGTGTTCAAAGTCTGGTGTTATGTATGAGTCTGGTGAGAATTGGCTCCTGAGGGAATCCCACCTTATACCATTTTTTAAGTAAATTTTTTTTAGGAGATGAAATCATTTACCGTTTTTTTATTTTTCGGTACAACCAGATAATAGTGGAATATTGACTTATAGGAGGCTTTAAATATCTTGGGTGTCAGCTTAACATTCCATAGGTGGGGGTGGGTGAATAGTTTTTAATATCCTAAATACAAAGCATACTAAATGGCAGTTTGGAGTCACAGGCATGCATTTAGTGTGTCTTGAATATTTTTAAATTACTTCTATTTTGTTTTTAGTCCTATTGTTTCCTAAAGAAAACCACTCTTTGGCTGTTGCTCTCCCTGTTAGAATTGTGTGCACTCTGTAACATCTTTGGTCATCATGGTCCAGTTTTACTAATAATTTTGTTAATGTGCTGTGAAAGATTGGAATTTAAGTAAGTAATGCTTATGATACTAAATTGTGATTTGGGGGAACTTACATAACAGCTTTTAACATTTGAAGACAGTGACACTTAATATCCTCTTAAGAAAAATTTGCCTACAAATTTGAAGCTGGAATGTCACTTGAATAAAAGAATCACAATACTTGGTTTTTAAAATTTTGAGTATATGTGTTAAGAATTGAATACAAATTGAAATGTCTGTTTTCATCCTCAACACAACCAATAAATCTCAATTACAAAAGAAAAAAAAAAAAAAGAATTGGCTCCTGAAACAAAATGTATAATGACCAAGTAAAAAGGACCATATTATTCAAGTTTGTGGATAAGTTCAAATTTGATTAAGCCATTAATGATTATAAAAACTTTTTTTACAAGAAAAAAGTAAAAACATTGTTTTGTGGGGTTTTTGTTGTTGTTGTTGTTTGTTTTTTTGAGAGAGGTTTTTGCTACAGAGCTCCCAGGAGAAACAGAAAGTGAGAAATCTCTCCCCAGGGGGTGATCACATTGCAATTTCTTCTCCTCTGTTCTCCTCTTAAGATTTTGGGCATGCATGCACATGAGCCCACCAAGAATTTCAAGTCTCCAGATCTGGAACTCGAACTGTAGTCAGTCATATGGGCTCCAGTGCCTTAACCGCTATGCCATGTGTTGGCCCCAAAATATAGTTTTTAAAATTCCTCTAAAGATTAAACTTACTTGGGTGGGGATATTTCAATTAGAAATTCTTTTTCTACATACGAATATAATAAGGAAATACTTATTATCTCCAAGTCAGGCATATTAGTGCCTCTTCATACCATGTGAACCATTAGGTGGTGATCAGAATGTAAATGAACATTCTAAAGCCAACAAAGGGCCTGACAAGGGAAGGAAATGCCCCTCTGGAAAACCTACAACTTATGCTGGTCTATCTCCAAAAGTCCTGACACAAGGAGAAACTGTCTTCATGTTGGACATAAAGACACCCACTGACTTCATTTACAGTATACTCTCCATGCCACTATAACTAGTGAAAATGAAGCAGGAACATAGGGGTGATGGGGCCCAGCACTTGCAATGAGACATGAGTTTTTGCCTCATGCTCAGGAAGAATGAGAGTCACAGACATTGAGAGTCAGTATAGTAAAGCAGGGAGTCCATCGAAGGAGAGGGAAGGAAAAAGCAGAGCTCACAAGAAGGGAGAGGTATCAGAAAATGAGTTGTGAAGGAAGAACTAAGGCAAGGATTTTTATTTTGGTCAGGAAAAGCTTTGGCCATACTTGCTTTAGGTAGGGCTTGTATATGTATTTTTTTTTTCATAGTGAGGAGGTGCACATGTAGAATGGGTCTAGTTATTTTTTAATTTTGGAGTGGGTACAAAGTCAGGAGATTTTTGTTTAGAAGGGTTGGGCTATAAAAACCAGTATCTTATCCGCTTTTTGGAATGTGGTGGATGGAGCCTGGGAAAAGCCTAGTTTTAAGTCTAGGTCATGTTGTCTAGGTCAGTCACTGAGCCACCCCTGCAAGGTCTCTCCTGAGCAAGCAGCAGAACTGCTTTGTCTCTATTTTTAAACTTAGCCATTTTGTGATTTTATTTTGAGCTTATACCCTATATTTTTAGGGTCCCTGTCTCCTACCTCATAAAAGCCCCGAGAACAGCAGCCAAGCTGGAATGAGAGTGCTGACTGCCTCTTTTTCCCCTTGAAGGGCATCAAGCATATTCTCAGTCTCATATTGAATGATTCATGTCTCCAAAAGAAACCTTGGAACAGCAAACTTACAACGGAATCAGCTCTTCTTAAACACTGTGATTCTTCCTTTTGTTCTCAGGAAAATAGCCCTAGTGATATGATAGGGAGGTCTTATCCAACAGCCCAGTAGCCCAGGGCATATCTGCATAATTCTGTATCAACCTTATTGCATTAGGTATCCAGGGAAAATTGTATGAAACCCTATAGGGGAGACAGAGTCTAAAACAAATATAAGAAAGGGCCCACAGAAATTCAGGACCAAGATTTTGGGTGTGAATCCACTGAATTAGTGCTGGCACAAATAAACTGCTATTTTCCTGCCAAAATCCTCATTATCCTGTTTCTCTTGCTAAATAGCCCTCTACAGTGAGAATTAAAAGAACCTACTAATTTCTATGGTTAAAAATATATGTATCTATATGCTATAAAACTGAAATGGTGATGGAAACAGAACCCCAGCACTGCATAATGCCTGCCTCTCACATCACTGCATCCTTGCAGACCTTAATGTTCAAGTAATGCTTGCTGAGTGCCTTTTATGTTTGGTCAAGTCATCTGTAAAGACCTTTAAGTAAATATTATCATATATCATAAGGTCACTTTAGTTTACAAGCCAAAATTTTTTGTGTGAATATAAATATATATTTGGGAAGGGGCGATTTTTCTCTAGGGCGCATAGTTCACCAGAGAGACAGAGACAGAGAAACAGAGAGCAAGAAATTACTACCCAGGAGGATGGCCACACCACAATCCTTTCCCCTCCATTCTCCTCTCGGAATTTTGGGTACACACACACACATGCCTGGCATGAGTTTTAACCCCTTGGGTCCTGGACTCCAATGGGGTTCACTACGTGAGAGTGCAGTGACATAATCATTACACCATCCATCTGCTGGTCTGTAAATATTATTGATAAACCCTTTAGGCATTTAAGTAGAATAATATTAAGTGAGATTCAGATGGAGCTCTCTAAAATTCAAAAAAAAAAAAAAAACTGGAGAAAGTTATTTTAACTTGAGTAAATTGAGATAAAAAGATTACTATGTAGGAATGGGGTATGATGGGATAGCTGTGGAGAGAGTAAGGTTTCCAATCTGGTGCAGTCAGGGTTGGAGGAAATTAGAGAGTCGATGGGGCATCATTTAGGAAGGCGACATTAGGAACAGGGGAGTCAGGGGAATGAGGCAGGAGGGATTGTCATAGGATGGGAGAGCTGCCCTGTGTTGTGTAAAATCCTTGGTTCTCTAGGTCCAGATCTCTAAGATTAGAGACCTATCCTGAAACTCAACATGAAAATAACACAAACAGTTGTAAAGAAGGAAAAGGGAAAATTTAACAGGCAAGTGAGGATTTTTACTAGATAAGAAGTAAAGTTCCATGTCTAAAAGGCATGCAGCTGCCAAAGAAGTACAATTGCACTGGGCATGGGGTTAGATGTTACATTTATCCCAAGAGTTAATAATTAATTTTTAGCAGGGGAAAGTCTGTCATAGTATCGGGCCCCTTTGTTTGAATTCGTGGGCTTTTTCCTGCTCTTCTGCAACTCTCTGACAGGTGAGGAATCCAATTACCCAATCCCACATGCTGATATGGACTTAGAAGTTATGAGCATTCTTATCTGGATGAACTGCCCAATCAGTTTATTGCCTCAGTAGGAATCAGGATGTTGACCAAAACTTCTTGTTAGGTCCTTTTGTATTTATGAGGAATGATAAAAAGGAAATTAACTACAATTACTATGTGCCTTTCTCAGGTACTAAAAAGAAAAATAAAATCTACCTTGCCTTCCTGGTGCTAGAAGCTTGGTTGGAAGGAAGGAGTCTCTGCAGAGGGTCTGGTTGTAACTCCTGATTTATTGTGACGTATGTGACAGAGATCCTTCTGATGTTTTCTTAGGACTACCCACT